CTATTTATATTTTATTTAATTAAATAATATATTCTAAGAAATTAATTTTCTAGATATAGAAATAACTTTTCTTTAATTCTACTAATAATTTTATATTCTTTAATTTAGCTAGAACCTTATATATATATTCTTTATATATCTTTAGATTATTAAAAAAAATTAAAATATTATTAAGATATATAATTATAAAGATATTAAAATACTCTTAAAGTACTTAATTAATTATTTATTAAAATATTATAAATATATTTATTAATCTAAAGAGTATAATAAAATACTTATAGAAACTAAACTTTATTCTAAATACTATTTTCTATTTATCTCTTTCTTTTATTTATATTAGATTATAAGCTCTCTTAAGATCTAATATAGTAAACTACTATTTATTCTATAATTAGTTTCTAAGTTCTATAATTAATAGTAAGGATATTCTATTCTTATATATAATACTATTAAGCTATTAGTAATCTATAACTAATTATAGTTTCCTATTCTTTTTTAGTATAAATATTATAAAGTATTCTATAGATAAAGTTAATAATTATATATAGCTTTTTACTAGTATATTATTAATATATTTATAGAGTATTTATAGTTAAGGTTCTATAAGGTTATAGAGTTTATAAAAAACTAGTTTTCTTTTATTAATAATAGATATTTTTGGTAGAGGCAATGTGATGATGAAAGGCTTGTCTTCTCATTGATACGTGCTATCTATCATCGGTCTAATGGAGCTATCGGCTAATTGTCGGAGCGTCCGGCTAATCGCCGGACCAACTGTCACATGTGACAACTGCCCTCCCTCAGCGATGACATTGTCCCAATGTCAGTATGTCGGCTCGAATGTCCCATTGTACCACGATGTCTCAATATCCGTGTGCTGATAGATAGCTCGTGTCGATAGATAGCTCGAATGAATAAGAGTTGATGAATGTCCCAATCGCTAACCCATGAATAGCTATCCCAGCTCACCCTGGAGTATCTAAATGTGTAGCTCGACAGTCAAACCCAAGTAGAATGAAATAACCCATTGAAAATGTATCCCGAAACCCACGGACCAAGTAATCTAACCGTATGCCTGTATTTTCCTCCCGTCAGTCATCCCGCCAAAACCTTTGTACTCCTTTTGTTATCGCATATTGTCGCCAACTACGCCGTCTCGCCAATTGAATGGTAGTCGGGCATCTTCAAACTTCCACCAATTGAATGGCAGTTGTGTGGTTGGTCCGTCATCACGATGTGCCGTTAATTGAATGACAGCAGTGACCGTGGTATTGCCCATCAACCAAATGACAGGCTTCCTGTTTGATTACAGGTCTTCTTCTTCCTCGATGGACGCTCGGCGTCTTGAGGGGATAGGAAGTTCGGGTAGGAGCTCACAAGCGCGATGGTTTCTCAGCTCCTGGATAATTGTCCAGTCTCGACAACCCGTGACAATCTGGTCGAATTCTTCGAGGATGTTTGGTGCCTTGTCGCGTACCAGCTTTCGGGCTTGCATGATCTCCTCCGCTGCGTCCATCGCGCATCCGTTGTAATCATCCGCATTCTCTGTTCCCTTCTTCAGTTTGTCTGCCGCGTCAGTCGCGATCTTTGAAAGGGTGCCCAGTTTCTTGCACAACTGGTTGGTCGAATCGATTGACGAGTACTGGTACAACTTGCGGGCGATATGTGACATGTCCGACCATCTTCCCTCCGGTTCGTGTTCCTTGGTCACTTGGACTGACAATTCAGTCAGATCTTCCTTCGTGTTGACCCATTCCTTCAAATGGGGCGCGTTGTGGTATTCGCCGAAGTTCCAAAGCTTCGCTTTGGTCTGTTGTGAGACGACCCTCACTTCATTCTCGGTGAGCTTGCGAACTTCGTTACGCAGACTGTTGTTATCGACGTTGACTCCCATCAACTTGTCGAACAGTTCGGCGTATTTGTTTTCAATCTCATCGCGCTTGTAGGTAATGGTAACCTCAATTGTTTTGACGTGCTTCGGGGGTTGAGTGACTTGCACGGCGTTGTGTCGGATGTTCAGTCCGGCCTGGACAACACCAGCTAGCTCCCGGGAGGGGAGGTGGCTTCGTGGGACTTCTTCAAGGTCTTCGATTTTGATTTCATCGTTCGTCTCGCCGTTGTCCAGTTCGATGACTCCCTGAGGCTGGATCATTGGTGTCGATGTTCTAACCAGGATCGGTTTGTTGTCGGGCAAACCATCCAATGCCGCGTAGATGGCAGTTGGCAGGTGTTCAATCAACTTGATCTGTTGATAGTATCTTTCAACAGTATCTGTCTTTCCACGGATGTGATACAACATCGCGAGGTAGAACCAACCAATGGACTTCTTGATTGGGACAATGGCGTCTCGTTGATGCAGTCTCGCGATTGCTTCGACCTCCCTCACAAGTTCACTGAGACGTTTTCGACCTTTCCATTGTTGGTATTCTGTGACTTTGTAGACCTCTTGGTCCAGCATCACTTGTGTTAGTTGGTCGAACAGTTGAAGCGCCTGTTCGTGGTTTGATCCCTCTACCGGTCTTTTGTTGATGTTGAGGGCGCACTTTGGAAGGAAGGCCTTTAGAAATTCACGGATTTCGAACCGTCCTTGGGCCTCTGTTGATTCGAGGCGTTGTTGCGCAGTACGCCTTGGCATCCTGCTGAGTAGGTTGTCAAAGTCATGTTGGTTGATCAATGGTAGATTCGTGTTGACTTTGTTCGTCTCTGCCTGCGGCAGCGCGACTGCCTCCAGTAACTTTGGGGCGGGTGGCATTTTCTTTCGTGATGCGATCGTCTGATCGCAGGGTCTTTGTGGGTGTGTCGTTTGTGTCTTGATGATATTTGTCTTGATGACACGGGGATGGACAAGTGTGTAGATTAATGATGCTTGTGCAGAAGGAAGGGTGAGCGATCGCGCGAGCGAGAGCGATCGCTGCGCTGAGATGGACAGATGCGCGAGCGAGTAGTGAATGAAGAGATGCGCGAGCGAGTAATGATGTTTTTTGAGATAGAAAGGAAGGAAAAGAGCTTCTTCGGTGTTCTCTGGGCGAGATGGGAAGTGTACGGGAGTGGGTCCGTGCGCCAGTTGAGAGCAAAGTGAGTTGCCTTGGAGGAAAGGCATCAAGGTAACCGTCTGATGCCCTGTGTGGGGGAACCAAAATCCGTTTATTGTCCTCCTGTCCTTCTCCCAGGCAGTCGTATCTCAATGTTGGTCTTTGGGATAGTCTCAACCTCTTCTGACCTAGTGATCACCACGTTCCTCAGCCATTCCATGGCCGGGTGCTTCTCTTCCCATTGTTCGACAATCTTTGGGGCCGTCAGGATCAACTCGCTTCTCTTTTTCCATTCGTTGTGTTCATTGCCGTAACCTTTCCATTTCACCAGGTACTTGACGAACGGCTGTCTTCCCTTTGGTCGTATTAGCTTTCTATCAGTGATCTTCTCGATTTCCCATTGGTCTTCTTCTCCTTCGACTTCGACAGGTCCGGGTTCTTCGACGTTCCTTTCCCATGGATCTTTGTCAGTAGGAGCCGCCGACAAGTGGATGACTGATATGATTGGATGGATCTTCCACGTCGGTGGTAGGTCCAACTCGTACGCCAAGGGGCCGACTCGTCTTTTGACTTTGAATGGTCCGGCTCTTTGTTGGGAGTATTTACGAGATGGCTTCCCGGGGACGTTAAAGCCTTTATGTAGCTTTAGATAGACCATTTGGTCAACCTTGAAATCAACTGGCTGATGGGCTCCGTCGTATCTTTCTTTCATTTTAGCGGCAGCTATCGAAATAGCGTGTTGTGCCTCTTCGGCGTATAGACGTCTCATCGTATCGATGGCGTCTTGGTCCAACTGTTTGTCCTTTTTCAGGACGTTCGCCACGCCGTTGGGCTTGAAACCCAAGGTGAGTTCGTTGGGGCTTCGGCCAATTGATACGCTCATTGAATTGTTGAGATAGAATTGGAGTGCCGGTACGACGTCAGGCCATGGGACGTCTGATTGGAAGATGTGGAAACGTACGGCTATTTCAACCGTCTGGTTCTTGCGTTCTGCGACACCTTGTGTCTGTGAATGGTAGCTTGTACTGTTTAGTAACTTCGTTTTCAGAAGTTCGAACAGTGCTGTCCAGAAGTCTGATAGGAATTTAGAATCCCTATCACTCATTATCACTCTCGGCAGTCCCCAGTCGCACATAAGAAGCATCCTCAGGAAGATCGCTGCCCAATGCTTTGCTTTGTATGTCGTACATCCGGGGATGAGGATTGATTTCTTTGACCATTTGCAGGTCACGGTCATCATAGAGTCGAACATGTCCGTGACATCCGTGAGTCGCCAGAACGACCTGTTCTGGGCCTCTGGCGGCAGACCTATGATAAAATCAATGACAACCGTGTGATATGGCTGCGCCGGAGTGAACGTAGGTTGCATTTCCCCAAGCATCTTCTTGCGGTTCGTCTGGTGAGTACGACATGTGGGACAATAATGGATATACGATCGCAGTCTCTCCGACTTCCCACGGAAAGATATACCATCGAGTAGTTCGCTCATCTTCGCGAATCCCGCATGGAAGTTCTCATCATGCGCCCAGTGCAACAATGGTCGCACCGCTGACGATGGGACGCATAGGTTGTAGCGACCGTCGTAATCGCGTCTGTAGATTAGGCCGTGCTCAAGGCAGAAGGGGTAACGAATCTTTGTTGTCTTCTGTGTCGGGTCCATGACTGTCGTATCACCTTTTGAGGACCTTTTGATCAATGTATCATAGATTCGCTGCCAGGTTTCATCCTCAGCGTATCCTTGTTCAATTGATTTCCTCAACTCTGGGTCGATCGTGAGATTGCTCGTTGATTCCATGCCAAAATATGCGTTATCCGGGAAAAATCCATCGTCCTCATCTTTGTCATCCCATATGTCATCCAACTCGTTGGCGAGTCGATGTCCTTTGGTCATCTCTTCCAGTTGGTCTTTCTTATCCAACGTAGGTAGTCGCGATAATGCGTCCGGCACGAGGTTGGCCTTTCCAGGTATATGACAAACGTTCAGACTAAATTGGCTCAGGTACATGGAAGCGTTCATCAGTCGTTGGTTAGCTTTCGTTGTATCCGTGGTGTCGATGCTTGTATGTCCTACCACGCCTTTCGTGGCAGCGTGGTCTGTGAGAATGACGGGTTGTTTTTGGCAGGAATTGATAAGTGCTCTGTTCTTCTTGCATGTCCAGACCAGACACGCGACCTCCAACTCCGTGGCAACATATCCTTTCTCTCCTGGTTTAATCATCCTGCTCAGGAACATGATTGGTTGGATCTCTTTGATAGGCAGTCTTTTTCCATCCCAATGGTCGGACGCTAGGTGGAAAACAAACACACCCATGCCATGCTTGCTCGAATCCAGCTTAATGAACAATGTCTTTGACGGGTCCTGATGGTATAACGAAATCTCCTTTGATAGGTACTTCTGGAGGATGTTAAATGATTGGATCTCCCTTTCAGTAGGCTGAAAGGTCATCTTGGACACGTTTTTCGCTCGTATCGCCTTGTTGATTTTCTGTACCTTCACGTCCTTCTTCCGTAGTTCTTCCAACAGTGCCTTTTTCCTTGCTTCGAGTGGTTCAACCTTCTGCGCGTACTGGTATATAAAGGATCGCAAGAATCCTGTCATGCCAAGGTACGTCTCAAGTGCACCCAAGTTGTCCGGCATTTTGATCTTCGCCAGAGCTGCTGTCCGTTCCTCCGTTGTCGCCATACCCAAGGCGTCAACCTTGAAGCCCAACAATGTAACGGAAGGGTAACAGCAGAATGATTTGTGTGGTGAAAGCGCAAGACCGATGTTTTGGAATGCCGAAAGGACCATTCTCACGTGTTCGCAATGTTCCTCAAATGTATCACTGTAGACAAGGATATCGTCGATGTACGCACATGCGTAACCGCGATAAGGATGTAGGAGTCTGTCCATGAACCTTTGGGCGTAAGATGGGCTGTTTTTGAAACCCATTATTGCAACGTTGGATGTCTCAAGTCCTCTCGGGCTGATGATGGTCATTCGATCACGATGTCTCGTAAGTACGGGTAGTTGGAAGAAAAACGCCGACGCATCAAACATTGTCATGTATTTCTTCCCTCTGACCTTGGCGATGATGTTCTGTTGCGTCGGAATCGGATAGACATCTGGTACTGAGGCCTTGTTCAGAGCGCGCAGGTCCACTACCACGCGTCCTTTCTTCTTTCCATTAACCAGTCGCCAAACCACGAACACAGGGCTGGCGAATCTCGATGGTTGGAGCATCCATTCCATCTTTCCGGCTTCGTGTAGTTTGTCATGTACCTCATCAAGAACTTTTCGGTCCGCCAAGCCAATTTGGTAGGGTCTGGTTGACAACTTAAGGTTTTGCCAACCGTCTACGAGGTCGATACGCATCTTGTCTTCCTCGCGCATTGGGATGATCCCACGATCTCTCCACACATCAAATGACTCAACGATCTGTCTCATCCTCTCTGCCTCAGATGAGTTGATTGAACACACGTGGACGCCATTGTCCAACTTGATCTCAGGTACGTCAGGTGGTCTTGTAGGAGACCATTGTTTCCATGCTCTCTGCATTGGTTCTTTCGGGGGACTTCCATCAGGATCAATGAAACCCTCGTCGTCTGATGCGTTCCAAAGATGAAACAAAGACTCCTCGCTTTCAATTGGCGTATCGGCTTCATCGTCAAAATCGTAGATGGTTCCGATGCGATTCTTTCTTTTGAACTTTCGTGGGACATCAGAGTCGTTGTAGACCAATGCTCTTCCTGTTTGGCGGTTGAATGCGTCGTTCTCCAACGTCATGACATGGTCTTTGACCATCTTGTCGCTCGACATAAAATGGAAGACCCTTGTAGCATAATGATCGTCCACCTCATCGATTGGGTTATAGTAGACGTTTACCCAATCTACTGACTTTGGTGGGATTGTTTTATTCTGGGCGATCATGACGGGGCTGGCTGTGCGATTTTTCTTCTGGACGTACTCAAATTTCGAAGTCATGTTCTCGCAGTTCCCGAACTTGAGTTGTTCGACGTCCATCAGGATGGATACCTGATATTCAAACATCCAGTTTGTCCCGAGCAGCATATTAGGTTCCAGCTGCTCGATCACCCATGCCTCCACTGTGAACTTCGAGAAGGCGTTCATCCCATTGGGCGTCGTCCCGGGCACGAAAAAGGAAAAACGAACCTTGTCTTCGACTTTGACAAGTCCATTGACGGCTCGCATGGTCTTAGGGAATGGTGCTTTGTAGTATTTTGCGTCTGTTGCATATCGAGCTACCCAACTTCTATCCGCCAGTATATCTGAACAACCGGAATCAACTGCGACTGTTGATTCCTTGGTACCGTCTCCGAACGCGACTTTCATCTTCGCGTATCCGAATCTCACATTCGACAAACCGCTCTTCGTTGCGTGGATTATCCGACCGTGAACAAAACAAGCATCGATGGTTCCGCATTGGTCGAGAATGTCTTGTGTTTCTTCCTCCTCTATGACCCTCTCCATGTCCAATTGTCCTTTCAAAGGATCATCCGATGTGGAGAACGAGTCTACCTGCCCTTCATCTGGCACGCCCTGGTCGAGCGGCAGGCTCTCTCGTCCAGGCGAGCCGACCCGTCAGTTGGGTGGCTCGTACCTGTGACATTCGTTTGCACGAATGTGTCGGTGGAGCTTGTTTCCAGACTCGAAGTTCTCACCGCACTTCGTACAAGTCAGGTCTCTGGACGCATTGATTGGAGGAATGTCTGATGTCTTGATCGACTCCAAGGCGTAGCATGTTTCTGGGTTTTCTGGTGGGAAGGCTGGTTGGGAGGTTGATTCATCAGACCCATTGTACTCGCTTCCGAGCACTTGTTCCGCTTGCGCAATATCATTTTCATCCAGTTGCACCTGGTTAACGAACGAGTATCCTTCTTCCTTCAGCGCATGTTCGATTTCATCACGTTCGTCAGAGTTCGCTTCGACCAGGATTTCATCTCCCTCTTCGTTGAACCAATAGGCGACTTCCCTTGATCGTGGCACCCATCTGCGGTACCATCTTTTGCCTGAGAACCTTGGACGTCGGTTGTCGAATCTTCTGTCAAATCGCCTGAAGTCCCTTCTTCTATTGTCATTTCGGTAGTCAGGGGAGCGATTACCGTTGTTCTGAAGGTTGAAGTGTACTTTCTTTCCGTTGTCCCATTTTTTGGCGTCGCGAGAGTCATTGCGATCGTTGTAGCGATTGTCATTGCGATCGTTGTATTGCTTGGAGAAGAAACCTCCGCGACCGTAGTTGCGATAGTTGGAGCCACGATCACGGTTATCGTAGCGATTATTCTGTCTTCCGAAGTAATATGAATCGTCGGTTGTCCCGTCTGGGGCTACATGGAAAGATACAGCGGCAGCGCTTGATCCGGAAGGAGTCGTCTCGAGAAATTGGTTGTACGGTGTTCCAGTCTTTCCTTTCCTGATCATTGCTGTGTTGAATGATACTTTGTTGAGCTTGTTTCTGTGCGACCTGACCTTCTCCGTCAGGTGAGACAACCACTCATTGACTGGAACATCTGGTGTAGGTTCAAAGACCAATTCTTGAATAGCACCATCAAGTCTTGACCAAACTTGAATCAACTGTTGGTAGGGTTCTGTCATCATTGCCGACTTTGACATCGACATCACGCGTGCCGCCCATTCATTGACGTCAATTCCTTTGGAGCACAGTTCGTCCGTGTAGTGGAGTTCATTCAACTTGTCGTTTGCCTCCGCTACGCTCAGGCGGAATTTCGATCTTAAGGCGGCGAACCAGCTGTCCAATGTTCTGGAGAATTGGAATCTGTCAACGTCCGACAGGAGGTTGATCCACCATTGGCTTGCCTTGCCTCTGAACAATTGAGCTAGGTTGCGACAAATCATATCAGCTCGGTCCTGTGTTGTCGCGTTGGTTCGAATGCTGTTGATAAAACTGTCTACATCCTGCCAGATCGTCTCTGACTTGGAAGTATAGGACGTTGCGTTCCAGTCGTCATCGTCCGTCGTGGGTTGGAAGTATCCGATGTGATGGATCTTCCATCCATCCCATCTGTTGTCATTGTTCCCATTGTACTGGCCGACTTGGTTCGTGGCTCCCGCCACGTGAGTCAACATCTGCTGGAACTGGTCGAGCGTCAAGTTGATGGTCTGTCCAACACCGGGATTCGCCTGTTGTTGGAATGGAGGGTTCGCTTGTTGGAAAGGGGGATGCAAGGGAGGTTGGAATGGTTGGTGAGGCGGTGGGGGAGGTGGAGGCGGCGGGGGAGGAGGATTTCGCGCCGCGTCGCGTTGACGTCTGAAATCTTCCACTCGATCAAACATATCCGCCAGTTGCTCCATTGTCAAGTTTCCGCCCGGCTGATTGTTGCCTTGTCCGGCGTTTCCCTGACTGCTGGGTGCGTTGTTGTTTTGTCCGGCGTTCCCCTGGTTGTTGGGTTCGTTGTCTCCCCAGTTCTGGTTACTTGGTTGTCCTCCGGTCTGACTGTCCTGGCTTGGCTGGCCGCCAGTCTGACCGCTCGCTTGATCACCAGTGTTCCCCGACATGTCTTCTGACGATCCAATTGAGGATTCAATTGGTGTGGCAGAATAGATATCTGAGTCTTCGTCCAGGTTGAGTGAAAGCTGTTTCCGAATTGGCTGTCCGAACCTAGGGAGGTTCGCTGATTGTCTCTTGAGCCACGCCCTTCTTCTCCGTTGCGTCCACGGTGTAACGACGATTGGTACTTCACTCAGATCAATCGACTCTTCGTCTTCGTCCGTCTGCGTCGATTGATCTCTTCCCAATTGATCTGTGCGCCCGGCAGATTGTCGCTCGGCGGGTTGGATGGAAGGAGCTGCCGTTGATACTGCTGGTGGTTGAATTGACGAGAGAGAAGAAGTTTGGGCGATGGAAGGTGCTTCCGTAGGAGTTATTGTCGTTGGTGCCTCAGGTGTTGCGTCTGCCTGAGGTGTCGACGCGCGCAACGCCGGGTCGAGGAAGGAACCACGCACGTTGCCTCTCCAATCCAGTGGTTCGCGTGCCTGCCGTTCGGTTGTGAAATCCAACCGACGCGCTGTATCGTTCTTTCCCGTGTTTGTCAAGACGCGCGTTCTTGTTGGGGGTGTCTGTTGGGGAGGATGGTCTGGCTGGTTCGGTGAGGCTGTCGACAGATGGGTTGGAGTCTGGGACGTCTGGTCTGCGGGCGTGTCGCACGTCGACAATTCGGCTTCGGCTGCTTTACGCCACCTTCGAAGGAATGCCTTGAAGGTTGTCTTGTGCGTTGTCCAACCGATCGGTATGTCGTATTGGGCGGACGTCGTCGCTGGTGGTAGGTCGAGTCGGGCAATCAGTTCGTAGTCATGGCTGGTCAATTCGCTGGTGAATTTATGCCCTGTAGAGACGAATCGGGATAATGATATTGAATTTTTGATTAACGTATCGGTCATACGACCAATTAAGGAGGGTTTGTGCGATCAACGCCACAGAAGATAGAGAGTTTGGCGGTCGACGCCTCTTTCGAAGGGAAGGTTTGGAGATGGTTTGCGTCCTGGAGTCGATGGTCCAAGGATGCGACACCGGGATGAATGGTCCGCGGTTCGAACAAAAATCAACTGTCGAAGGGATGGTCGACCGAGGATGGTTATGGTTATGGTTATACGTATCGAACGTAAGAATTGCTACCAATTGGTAGAGGCAATGTGATGATGAAAGGCTTGTCTTCTCATTGATACGTGCTATCTATCATCGGTCTAATGGAGCTATCGGCTAATTGTCGGAGCGTCCGGCTAATCGCCGGACCAACTGTCACATGTGACAATTTTATAATCTTACTAGTTATATTTTAATAAGCTAGTTTTTAAGATCTTTTTAAATAATTTATTATAAATTTAGTATTATTCTAAGATATTCTTTAATTTTTTATCTCCTAATATTTTTTATTCTAAGTATTACCTTCTAGCTTTCTTATATTATAAATTAAACTTAAAGTTATAATTATATTTTTATTAAGATATTATTTTTATCTAATTAATAGAATTAATATTTAGTAGTTTCTTAACTTTCTATATTTAGATAAAGATTCTTATTATTTATTATAACTCCTAATAGGATATTATTATTATTTTACTAGGTTATAATACTATTAAGACTTCTTCTACTATATCTACTTATTATTATAAGTTATTATTATTTTTTATAATAGTACTTTTAGTTATTAAAAAATAAATATATTTTTCTAATATCTAATAAAATTTTAATTTCTATTAATTCTATTATTAATA